TTATTAATATATTATTGTATAGTTATCATTATTGTTATTGTAGTTATGTTATTGCTTTTTATTTTTTTTTCCTTTTTTTATTATTTTATTATAAATATTATTATTGCCAAGTAGAAAAAAAAAGCAAAATAATTGGGGTTATTCATTGAGATTCCAACTAAAGGCTTTGGAGGTACTATGCAGTGCTCATTCATACCCAAGCCCCAGCCCTTGCTATTGTTGCTAAACTCCCTCAAAAGGATAACATAAACATGAGTGTTTGTGGGTCAAAAACATGTGATTGTGGAAAGTGCATGTGTATTCTGGGCCCTATTCTGGTTGTTCAGTTCCTTAAGTTTGATTGCCACTCTGAAATGATCCAGTTAATCAGAGTATCAGTAATTGTTTTAAATTGTTTTTCTTTTTTTTTTTTCGCTATAGCGCAATCATTGTTTGATTTAGAAGAATGTAAACTCACCAAAGATCCTGGTATTCGATCATCGTCAGTACTTGGAGTAGGTAAGTGAAAACGCACGTGTATCATTGTGGCGAGTGAATTTCAATCGTTACTCTACTAAAGGTTGATGTTCTGGGAATGCATTACTTGTGTGTATTACTCTCTCCACACTATTTTGTGACAAAAACATGTGACATGTCTAAATATGGTCATGATTACATCACATGACCATATATAGGCACATCATGACTATATATGGGCACATCATGACTATACATGGGCACGTCATGACTATACATGGGCACATCATGACCATATATAGGCACGTCATGACTATATATGGGTATACAACAGTTTCTGGTCAAAGAAAATTTGATAGTCCGGACAGAGCTTAATGTGCTGTTCATACACACATTTTATGTGACAAATATATGTGATGTGACATTTGTGGGCATGATTATGTCATATTACACCTAAATGTGGCCACATCATGCTTATTTGTCACATAACATTTGATAGTGTGGCCAGAGATTTAAACAGTTGTCATGAAATGGCTTTGTGATAATAACATCATTGTAGTTTGAAGTTGCTTTCGTATTTATTTAACAGTTTGGTAAACGGGTGTTTGAGGATTGATGTGTCAAAGGCCAGACTTTTTATACCTTGTTTAGTATTCAGGAAAAAAAATATAAAGGCAGAAATTAATTTTATTAATTTGATAAAATTATGCAATAAACATCTAGATAGTAGAGAAAATAAAAATATTGCTAATTCAAAATCAACTAAAAATGTAGACGTTATTTGAGACTAAAAACTAAAAACTTTTCATAGTTTTGATAGAGTCCTAGTCCTGTCCAGAGTATCAAATATGTGACAAACACATGTGACATGCCTAAATATGGTTATGATGACATCACATCATGACCATATATAGGCACATCATGACTATATATGGGCACATCATAACCATATATAAGCAAGTCATGACTATACATGGGCACATCATGACCATATATAGGCACATCATGACTATATGTAGGCACATCATGACCATATATAGGCACATCATGACTATATGTAGGCACATCATGACCATATATAGGCACATCATGAGCCTATATAGGCACATCATGACTATATATGATATGATATGTCGTTCTTATATAGCGCTTAATGCCTTAACAAAGCCTCTAAGCGCTTCACATTATTACCC